AGTAAAACGTGTTTACCTGCTAAACTTAGCGGACACGTGGTCTCAAATCCGGATGTAAACACGCTTCGCTCCGTGCTGGAAACCAGCCGTCTGGTGAAATTCCTATTGGTGCCAGCGGACGTAAAGCTCAATAGTTATCAGTTAATAGTACCTATTGCGATGATCATTCGTTCATTCATTCATTCATTCAATGGACTGGAAAGAGAGAATGAACCACTTTGTTGACATCGAAAGCGAACGACTCTCACAACGGCGAGCGCGCGCAGAAGTTCGTTGAGGCGTTTTGGCAGTTATGCGTGTTCACCGAGCTGTGACAGCCATTATTATTCGTTGTTATTATAGTGGTGCCGGTAACTATAATCGGTTTTCTATTGCCTCTAAGCGCTAGCAACCGCCCCGTGACTTTTGATGCTTCCGATTTTGTTGGCACCGCAGACCGGCGACAATCCGACGTCCATGCGTGGTACATATCATGTAATATAATTCTTAATTGCAATCATATTCGCGGCGGATACCGTCTGCTTTAAAGTGTGTTCAACCGCATTAAATACAAACGCGGGTATTTCGATCGATCCGCTGTTCATAACGTTGTCACACCGGGCACTATAGCAAAGCGCACGATGCCTTCGCTGGCGCTTACATGCGCAGGAGCTGATCATACATTGTGGTTGTATCTTCAATTTATCAGACTAGAACCAGTCGTCATAGGCATTTTTTGGTCTTGGTGTAATTTTTTTTACCTGTTGTAGGCGACACATCGACGGACGGACGGACGAAGGGAGACGAACGAAAAACTCGAAATGACAGTTTTTTTACAGGAAATATTCTCGCAGCAATTTGATTGCGATTTGATTACGTTCGGTGAAATTCAACCGGGTGCAATTGGGTAGCGACAATGAACATGGTCGTAAGCTTGCGCAAGGGTGTTCTGGCTTACTCAGTTGTTTCCCGCAGATGCACAGACAACGCAGCGGCCGATCATCCTGCGTCTTAAACGTCAAGCAACATGACAAAACCAATGAGCGTCCGAGGCGTACCGAGGTAAAATGACAGTCGTGACGATGCTGGTTCGAGGAGGAGATATACGTTGTTCTCCAGATGTTGTCTGTGCACGTGCACTTGCACGCTACAACTATCATTAGATCTGTTGGCTGAAACCTGTTGTACGACGCCGTGCCACTTTCAGCAATTGGCATGTCAGTTGGCGCATCACTTGCCAAACAAAGTCGTTCTACTTGTCTAGATCGAACTATTGGCAGCAGCGGGAACGGCGCTGGCACAAGAAGGTCTAAGGTGACGAGATCAGCTAACTACGACAATACAGATGAACACAATTAGCGGCCTTTAAATCGGTTCCATTTACCGAAAATCGCCGCCGAGTTATGCAGTCTTGTTGTCAGACTTCACTGCCAGACAGAGTTCTTTTGATTTAGCTAGCCTACTTGTGCCGTCCTCGTCGATTCTAGAGCGTCTAATCACACCCATCCCCTCGCTACTAAGTGATACGTCATGAGCCTCACTACTCGTCCGCTGTGCCTGATTTAATAACTGTACACTGACTGACAAGTCTACGGCATTAGTGAATGCGGCTAGCCGACAAATGAAGGAAGTAACAACAATAGCAACTGTTACATTCGGATGATGGTAGCGCTTTGCTCTGCCACTTTGGTTTGCCACAACACACACAGTGGTACTTTTAAGGTGGAATTAGGCACATTTAATTTATTACGTAGGCAATGTACGGCGATAGGTGGAGGCAGCCCATGTTATTATAGTAGCGATAACTACTAGAGGCTGAATACGTGTATCAGGCACCGTGCTATGTCTGCAGGTGGCAACGTGTATATACTACAGATCAATCTGTTTTCTATTTGCTAGACCGTCATGGATATGTGTGTAAAACTAACATCCGTAAATTCATCATTCATGGCGCAATTAAGGCAGATCGCATGATTATTAGACCCACATTGGCATCATTTATTGTTTGCAAAATATATATTATATTTATAGTAGCCGACGATAGCTATTCATTCAATTGAATAGCACATGAAATTTGCCACCGGTAAATGTGTACCTACAAGATGACGACAGATGTCAGAACCAGATGAAAGACGCATGTATTGAGGGACGTGGACGAAACTAATGGACTAGCAGGCTGTTGTTGAATTGAAAAGCTGCTGCTGCTGCAGCAGCAGTAGCTATTTGTCTGATCCGCTCGGATGTCGTCCTCGGATCGCCATGCTTCCGTTCTTATCGAAACGACCAATTCTATTGACCAACATCGTTAAGTCAGTGTACAACATTGCAAAATCAATACGGCGACGACGACTATTGGCACATGGATGCAATGAAATGCTTCTATTGCGCCAGGTTTCGATCTGATTAGGAGGCCTGGTGAAAAGAGATGTCGCTGCGGCCTTTAACCCGGCAGCAGAAGCCTGCTGTCTGGGTTAAAGGCTGTTACTGTTTATCTATCCATGTATCCTCCTTTCCTTTCAGACGGCCTCAGCCATATTATAATCACCATTATATATACTGATACATATCATTTTTCAGATCCTTTGGTATAATGCAAGTCCCACAATATATATATATATATATATACATATATATATATACATATATATATATATATATATATATATATATATATATATATATATATATATTGACTACAACGTACGCACCAATGCGGCTGGTGCTGGCGTTGGATACAGCATGTTCAAAAAAACTTTCGTTTCGCTCGTTTTTGTCCACTGTCCTTCTTCGGCGATGCGGGCCTCTGGATATGACGTTTTTATACTCTGACACGCACACATATATCCACAAAGGGGCTTGTTGCTTACAGATTTGTGGCTATCGTCCTCGTCGTCGTCGTCTTTGCCGTTGCTTCTGTAGATTCTGTCTAGTTTCTGCGTATTATAGGAAAATATTGACTGCGTTGTACAACGAATCGTATACCCTGTGTAATATGGAATACTTGCGTTTACAAAAAGGAGTTGATGCGGTACAGGGCTGCAATACTTGTCAGCGATACGGATATGACAACTGTAGCCGTCGCTTTAGCCCCTTCGTATTCGCTCGCGGCGTCAGGCCCATTACGAAATTATCCTATTACGATAGCGAAGAACTAAATTAAAAGGAATAGCTTCGCGTGGTTGCCTAAGGACGCATGGTACCAGTCCTAAATATCTGCTAGAGAGTACACATGCCTGGTAGTTGTTGTGGTCAATCGTGGTGAATCAAACACTCGGGTCTGTTCCCTCTGCTTTTAGCCTCATAGTCATGCTCTTCATTTTACCCCCAATTCGAGCTGGTAGTCACGTTCCCGTGTAGCATACCTCAGCCACCACCCGTTTCTTCGTCGGCCATTTTCCCATTTGGGGATGACGCGACGGACAGAATTGATATTTCCCTTCTTCGTTTCCGGAAGAGCGGCTTTTTTTCGAGAGAAATGTGAAAGAAAGATCACGGAGGTCATCATGATATGACCACGTCGACCCTTTACAAACTTCGTGCTGTTACTAACTGGGCACATTTCTGCTAAGATTGCCTTGGCTCGGTTACGTAGCTACAGTCATTTCAGCTGTTCATTCAGCAGAAGGCGGCTTTTTCTTCTGGGTCCAATAGAATTGGCTTCATCCATATCCACTAAACATACGGTAGGTAGAATTCTGATCATTTATTGTTTAAGTCCTACATGTTGATATCATTACAGCGTCAATTTAACTGGGTCCTTTCTTCATACATTATACTAATATTAGGTAGTTAAATGTGTATGTGCGCTGGCCACTGCTATTATCCTTTTATCGTTGGTTGGTCATCGTCAATTCTCGAACGCATAAAATAGATAAAATTGATTTTTAGCTCATGATAGCTGAAGGCCACATGACTTCGTAAAGCTCGGCTTTTGCAAGCCGCTCAGATTGCTACAGACTCTGTCGAAACGAAAATGAGATGCGAGAAGGTCGCTGTAGGCAAAAACTAGCTTTCGCCCACACTCTCATCGGCCATAAAGAACGAAGCGGCAACCGGAGATATTTCATTAATTGTTTGTCCCCACCTCCCCTTTTTTCTCGTTTGTGCATGGCGTCTTATGCCATCTTCCGACCGAATGCATATCAGAGTCCCCCCTACTCCACTTTCTCCTTTTTTATGCTAGCATCAAGGCTGTTTAGTCTTGAAAGAATTCGTAGGATTTTAGCAAAAAAATTGCCTCTTACAGAGCGTAAATACAGATATATATATATATATATATATATATATATATATATGTACACCTTTTCCTGGTATAAGAAGCCACACGTTGTCCGTGCCACAATTTCTGGGTCCTCGATGCTACGTGTTCCATCTTACGTCGATATTAGTAGTGTGTGCTTCTTTTTGAGTGCGCGATGGAGATGCCGGTAAGTCTGAAACACGGACAGAAGTGGACGTTTACTCAATTTTTGTGCTGTTTAGTGCTTTTTTGCACTTTTGCGGGAAAATGGAAATCTGCGTGTCTAGAAATGAAGTGTTCTACCTCTGATGTAATCGAAAGTAGCGAGGAACAACGGAAACATTGAAGCTGCAAAGAGTAAAAGGAGAAGAGAGGTAATCTCGAGATTCCAGCAACTTTCGCACTCCAACTACTTGTCTGCTGAGTTATTTTCTAACCGGCTAAAGCTTAAAGACCCGTAAACGAGCTCGTATCAAAGAGAAGTATTACTTCGTATTTCTTTAAGAATACGACGGTGAAATAAATTAAATATCATATTTACAATAATGCTAATGTCAGGCTTTAAGGACACTCGAAGTTAGCTGTTTCGAAAATTTGCAACAGAAGTGTTCGCTAGGACTTTAGCTAATTTAACGCAATGAACGCCAGTCTTGCAACACTGAGAAGACTAAATTTAAAAACTATTTTTAGGATGAATCCTCACTGTACCCTATCGAACCTTTAAAGACAAAGGCTCGACGTGCCTCGAAATATGCTCACACGATTTCTGCAAGATGTTGATGATCGTATTATTCAATGTATTAACAAAAAGTTTGAATTTGGCACATATCTTCTACAGTGGGCTCACTAGAACTTCGTCAATATATCTTTCTACTTTCGCCGCAGGAAGCTACAGTAGTTTCTCTAGTTCCTGTCCCTGAAGAAGCCGACTCTTAGCAGGGTATTTCCTTTGTCTCGTGTGAAGCAGCCATTGGTTGAACCGAAATCTGCCTCACTGATTTCACTAGGCCGAGGTGCGTTTGTAGCAAACGAGAGAGCGAACCGCAACTTATTACCATTGTCTGCATGCCTGCCGTTCCAAGCAACGGAGTGGCATCGATCAAGTAAGATGTGCGTGCCAAATGACGACGGGCAGAGCCTGAACAGCTTCTTTCAGTTGACCAGTTAGTTGAAATTCATAGCCGGTTCTTAATCCTCACCGGCCTATATTGTACTGAAGAACTTAGTACAGTATATCACAATCGCCTCTGCCGCTGATGCCAAGAACATTCAACATAGCCAGTCGTCCCTCGCGTGTTCTCACTGACCAACAGACCGTTGCTACACTAAGGGATGCTCGAATTGAGACTTGGAAGAAGTACATACTATATGTGATGATATTCTCCGGGACGCGCTGGTGCAACAAACGCTAGCGACAAGTAGTACTGCGAGAGCTACAGAAAGAGTTTCTGAAGAGACGGAAATCTTGGTCTCGAAGTGCTTCTACGCAGAGAAATCGATCACGACATATTAACCTGCGAATCAAAAATATAATTTTTGATAACACACTAGTACAAGTATGAACACAATTTACTTGTTGTGTTACGAATACTTCGCACTTACACAGATATAGCGAAAGAAGTATTTAGGGCGTGGTAGATTATTAAAATGGGCCGTAATGCTGAGCTGCGCTACCCACGTCTGCGTCCCAACATACTGTTTAAGACCGCTCGCGCCCTGAGCTAGTTTTTTTTTCCAGATTCCAAAGTTACAGGTGTCAACAACACTCGTCCGATCAACATTTGTTCTAGCGAAATAGCGTTAGTGTGACGTCCCTAGTATACTGTGGGATTTGTTCTGTTTGCTGAAACCTAGTCTTATTTTTGTTATTGAGACTACCTTCGTTGATCCTTGCGCGTACGCGCCCAGACATTCTTCCCAGCAGATTGTCTAATTGCAAGTTCCTGGGAATGGGAGTGGATCCTCAAATAGGGGTGTTTAACGTCCTAGGCTTTGGACTTTGGCAACATTCACACCAAACCATCATCTTCCTGTTTTGAGACCGATTTAGAGGCGTTTCCATGTCTGCTGTACAGTTTCTTGAATGCTTGCGTGCTCATCCGCTTTCCCGGAGCGACAGAACATGGTTGCAACGTCAAACGAGGCAGCTGCAACTTCTTCAAGTAGCGATATTGCAGTAAGGAAATTACAAAGTTGTCACGCAGACGTGACTCTTTGTTTTTTTTAGGAATACCTTGACCTTCGCGCTGATCTGACACGCTCCAACACGATGTCTCTTCTGCGTATAGGTTCTCGTCATCTCTACGGACTCGCACATAATATTCTGACGTTGAAAGTGGTGCTTACCATCCAAGTCGTTTAAATACACGAGCCTTCAACTCTTCCCACTTTTCTGGGTCGATTAGTGGGCTTGAACACTATTGAGCTAGGCCTGACCAGCACAAATATGCGCTTATGTGATCAGCCGTGAACACGTATTGTTGTTGGTGACGTTCCAACCTATGATCCAGGCCTCAAGTAGTTATCGGTAATCCACATTCTGTGACAGACGCTGCACCGCGACCCTTTTTCGTACAACTTGGCCTACTTTTTCGTCCGTTTTCAACTTGCTAGTCTCTTGGAAATTCGGCTCCGCTGTTTTCTTGCCGCCGCCAAATGATTATGCATTAGTACAACTACAAATGCAACTTATTCACTTTATACTTCGTCTTCATATAATTATGGTGACGGAAATACATAGGACGTAATATTCCATTGATACGTGCCGTAGATTGTCGACTGCCGCAATTATAAAGCAGAACAAAAACCGTTACGATTATAGCACACGCAGAGATAGTGACAGGATCGAGAACAACATGAAATATATTGGCTTGCTAATAATCTTTACTCGCCAGCTTATTTCGGTGGCACCTGCTTTAATAGGAAAGGTTGCTGTGGAAAACAAACTATTGGTGTACACGTGACCATGACGGCCATATTTTGAGTTAGCAAGCAGCTGAATTAAAGCTAGCAAATCTGTTTCTTCTAGACGGAACAGCGTGAGGATATCTCCTACAAAAATCCATACGGTAAAATCTTTAGAAAGCCATGTATAGGCTCATTTCACGCACATTACCATCTACTCGAAGGAATTTTATCACCATCCATGCCATTGACAAGAGTACAGCCGCAGTGGGCGCTATCGGATCGCCCATCGATCACTTGGCCTCGAGAAGGCGCTCACCAACTCCTTCCCCATCTTGCATGCCAATACGTTTCTGAATTATAATGGTACTAGTACCTCAACTAGAAGGACCACTACGTATCTATAAGATAAGGGCATAAATTATAACTTCGTCAACCCTAATAGATTACAAAAAATCGCGCGTATAAATAATATATAAAAGGGTTTCTGGGGACATGTCAGCAATCATGGCATAATACAGTCCTTTAGGAAATATGATGGCACTGCGATGTGGGGACCCTTTTTATCTAGATATGAAACCAAACTATTATAACTTAGATGAAACGATTTCAATTACTCTTCTATAAGGGCTAATTTAACAGGCAACTGGATCCACAATAGGGTGTGACTACCTGTTAATCCCGGTAACTCTAAAAATACAATAGTTTCTAAGAATACTTGTTATCTACCAAGGATATTTAAAAGTGAACTCGAAAAAAATTTCTCACGCTGGCAAATTTGGCGCCAAAAAATAGGTCTTTTGCTTATAAAGGCAGCAACTGTAGGCAGTTCTTCATTTGATCGGGAAAGATTTACTTTATTTTACAGCGTACTAGTTTTGCAAAACGCGATATTAAATAGGGACGGAGTCACCTTTGCTAAATCAAGAGACGTTATTTTCGATTTAAATAATTATGGTAGAAAATGGTAAAATAATTTAGCAAAGTTTAAATAACTCTATATATAGAACGTAATTACGGTAGAAAAAAAAACAATATGATAGGGGTAAAATTATGACGAAGGAAATTTTATGCCAAAATTAAAAATAAGGCCTTCGTACGTGATTATTCACTTATTTCAAACAGAACGCCATACTTTCTATAAGAAGTTTTATTATTAATAACTGTTATCGTTCATTTGAACACATGACCTCTATTTCCCTATTGCAAAAATGCCGGTAGGCCGTAGGGTCAACGAGAGCTCTCAGCTGAATTATAATAATGAAATAGAACAAAGTGAACAAGTCTGTTGGCTTTAAGCAAGACTAGTTACGAACTGTCGCCATTGTATAATCTCTTTATGTTGTTCCGCAAGCGATTATTTATGCTTCTAACTGCCTGTCCGACTCTAACCGCTATCTGCTCTAGTGGGATTCTCTCGTGTAGAACTCCTCGTTGTCCCTATGGTTTTTAACCCTGTTTCTCTCCATGACCCAAACGGCAGGGTGGTGAGGCAGCTGCATACGTGGCCTACGCTGCTCGAGCCGAATTCTAAACGGCTGGAACGACACCAAGCAACGCTATTGAAGGTCGCATCCCGTATACACCATTCTATTGAAATAGGCGCAGTTCGTCACGACAACCAGAGAGCTCAAAACGATCCTCGTGTCGATGATTCAATACGACAGGGCCACTCATAGGACACACTCACTGGCAGTGGAAGGCAAAAGGGCCTTCCATTAAGAAAGAGATGTGCGCATGTGCGATTATTGGCCTAGGAGAAATAAGTGGTAGCGGTTTGGAAACAGCAGGTTCCGCCAAACAGGCACACGAACGTACTTTCGTCAGTGGTAAATTCATTCAGGAAGTGTTCATATTGTGTGCACGACTGATAACTTCCGCCACGTGCAAGACCTACGCACACAAATACGAACAGTGGCATTGCCACAATTTTTACTTTACTGTTTCCTCTGCATTTAGGATATCTCTCTGTATATACTGAATTCGTACCTGTCAGACAATTTTTGAGGTGGTTCTCTCTTCAGAAATGCACGATTTCATCGTGCCCAAAAATGATACATTTATATATATTTTATTATATCATATATTAATACATATAAATCACCTTCGATGGGGGCTTAAATCATGCCCGCATGCACTCTAAACTAGCAACAATTGGTCGATCACCATGTTAATCCCATAGCACAGCATTCTTCCTTCATGTAGGGTAAGTAAGATATGATTTTGTCATTTTGGCAGCCTTAAGCCAAAAGCCTGGAACATGGGCTACTGTCGTTAGCGTTGATAAATAGACGTTATGCTCAAATACAGAAAATATCCATTCCTGTCTAAGCTCGTCGTCGAAATTGTAGGGAGTCGGTATGACAACTTTTACTTCAGCAGGCCCTTTAATCTAACGATGATACGTCAATTATGGCCTCAGCCTCGGAGGCAGCCAAGACAGCTAAGTGACAAACGGAACAAACGACTTTTGAAACGTCGCCTGAGAGGAGAGAATAATAAAGAGGAGAAAAAGAACTCCTTAAATAAATAGAAACATTAATGGAAAGATCGTTTCATAATACCACCAGAACCCTTCATAGGGTACGGTATGTTAATTTGATATTATAGATGCTCCTAGTACTTGACGTACATTTTCATCCATTGAGCCGCTGTATTTGCTATTGCTAAATGCCTGCCATAGGTAAATTTATGACCGAAATTCGCTTTCGAAATTAGGTACGGTTACTTGTCTAAATATTAGGGCTCTTCAAACCAGTTCACGCAATTGTGAAGCTGGACGCGCAACGGTCAATGCAAGCTCTTTATGCTTTTTATGAGCTATTTTGTAACTCTATTTATGTTATGCATCAGTTACGCTTCCTTGCTTGTCGACCTATGCTACGTGCTTTACGCGGTTATAGCAATGTATGTCGAATACTTAATTTTTAAGCTAGGAAATGAGAGATAATGTCAACCCTCAGATCGTCATAAAGCAAGTCTATCCTCCGTTGTTCATGTACTTCTGCTCTCTCAACAGCAGAAGCCATGTGTTCAGACTTATGCAAACCCTATCTGCATCCGCGTTCTATAATTGGAGCAACCTAGGAGTGCTTGCGTGCTGTCTGCGATGTTAGTCAAGGACGCTTTGAATTTTTTCCCTTTAGGCTCGGGTACGCCTAAGCTCGATTGATTGGAGGAGGCCGTAAGGGTTAAACGCGTTATAATGATATCTACCATTGTATCAGTTAGACAGAGTTCATCACGAAGCAGCATCGGCCAAAAAGTTGCGATATCGTCTGAGTTACCCTTTCAAATTGTACTTGAGCCTTTAGGCTAGATTAAATGCACATATGCACGATCACATACACAGATACGGACGGACGTATGGGTATTTGTGTAAAATGAGCTGATAATATAAATAAACGATAAACGAGAATGAGGGGATTGGAACTGATAAGCACGGACAAACAAATCAGAACGGCGTCTGCGATGACAAATACGTGTCACTTTGGCCTCAAGAAAGCTGTGGTGTAGTTTATTGCGGTATTAATTGTTAATACTTGGTACAGCTTGACAATGGCAATAAACTAGACTACGGGTGAAGTCGTATCTAATTCAAACGTTTCTTCATCAAGGAGACCTATTTACCTCGTGCTACTCGCTTCAGCAGCAGCAAAATTATGATATTATACAACAACAGAAAAAATTCTACTCGGATACATATTCTTCTTCATCATCTTCTTTTCTTCTTATAAGAACTAGTAGTGTTTCGTTTAGTGCATCGTTTCTATTGACTTCTATCACTACAGTCTTCCTTATTGTTACCCTGTTGCAAGAGCGCGAGCTGGGATTAGCGCGTGCACACGATTTAGTATACGTAAAAACGACGGTGAAGTCTACCGCCGTCAATTTTGTCATCAGTTATTATGAACTATGTGTTGACTGATACTCTCGTGACATATTGATGGTGCCAAGAAGACGACGGTCAATAGGATCTCACCCTGGTATATATATAAAAACAAAACATATATATATATATATATATAACATAATACATAAAACATATATATACATGCACTCATCTTTTGTTGTGTAAGTACTATAGAAAAGACGCTTTGCTGCTATGCCGTATCGGCAGTAAATTAGATCTCATAATTTTTTCGTCTATCATATTATCTGCCTAACATTTAGTAAACCGGCATCGTAGATTTCGTATACAACTTTTGATTTAATAGAATCAAGCTCCACCATAATACTGTTTATACTTTGTCTGTGAAAAATTTGTTGAATTTGGCTTCCTGTCAACATATGATTTGGCGAGTTCTTGAACTCTAATAGCACGAAGGTGAGCAGTAATCATAGCGTTTATGTGATCTGCTTTATCGTTTCGATCAAAATGATCACACGAATGGGGCAATCAAGCGCTTTCGAACCCGAAATCTTTGCTCCCGTCATCCGCCTGGGCACGAAAGATAAAATCAAATCGTAAAATGGAAATTTGTCGATTGTTCCCGTTTGCCTCTTTCGCGACGGCCTTTTCCCTTTAATATAGCATTTGGCCTGTCCTTCGGAATTTTTCCTATTTTCAGGTTTTCGCTAGAGCTGAAATAGCAAAAAAGCAGGCAGGGCGGAGCTTCGACCCCAATGGCAAATTCAACGACTAAAACGTCAAAGACGACCTTCAACATCTGAGCAGACGAGATAAATGAGTGGAGGAAGTAAATGTGTCAGGGACCACTTTAGGGCGACCTTAACGGCTAATCAAAAAGATGACGGAACAGTCAAAAGAAAGATGATAGTGATAATGACACACATGATCGTGACGGGGGCGCCTATGGCGATGATAATCGTGTCGTTCAGAATTATCAGAAAATCGTAATTGACAAGCATAGTTATTGGAGTCACCCCTCCAATTAGCTCGTATACTCCTGCTTCCCCATTTCCCAATGACAAATCATCATGTAGCCGCGTAGAGATGCCAATAGTCACCTAGCCGCCAAGGACTCTTGTCTCAGTTGAGACGGCTGAAGCAGCCGCAACTGAGACACTTTAAGACAAAAGAGAGTAGGTGCTCTCCTCCATGCCTTCCCTTAGAATATTCGAAATATCTAAAAGTATATTTTATGAGAATGGACGTTTTAGTCTGGGACGTTTTAGTCGTTTTAGGGTTAAAGACTGATGGGAAGTCTAATGCCGCTTAATAAAGCAACAGAGATAATTCAGAGCAAAGCACAGGCTGTGAAACCATCACTGTTCCTGAACAAAAACAACAGTGATAAAAACTGTCAATGATGGCGAATTGTTCTTAACTGCAAGATAAAAATAGCCCAAATTAATAACGATCGACCT